GGTTGGCCGTGTACCTGGAAGGAGTCACGGCTCCTCTCTAGACTGGGACTCCCCACTTGAACGATGGAGTGCCACAGGGTATCCCAGCAGGCCCGGCGAGCACATCGCAGGAGCATAGGGAAGCAGGACCGGCCGTACCCCCATCCCTGGGAGCCCTGCTCCCAGCCTTGTCTAAGGCCTCCCTTGCCCCATATCTGGTTTGGGGAGCAGTTTTCTCACCCCAATATGATTCTGTTCTCTGTCCCCTCTGCCCTCCTACGCCATGCATCCCAGCGTGGAAGGACAAGACTTCGTGTCTGCCTCCTGCCCGGACCCCTGCCACGGGAAGGGAATGCGTTATTGCTCTCTCTCAGGGCTACTCAGACACCAACTAATTTGTTTCCCTCCTGCCCCCTCCCTTATTGATCAATGCTTTAGCCGAGTGGCTGTTAAATGACTTGTTCCCATAGCAACCATCAGATACATGCTCGGATCTGATGTGTCTGTTTCCTGAGCCAGATCGCCTCCTAAGAGCTTGGAGAGAACAAATCTCCTTTCATATCCGTCGCTGTCTTCTGAAAGGCACAGGATATTGTTCAGAACAAGTCATTTTTTAAAACAATATTAAAAAAAGAACTAGGTTTTTCAACAGATATAAAGTTGTTTCATAAGGTGCATCATTCTTAAGAAGTATTAAATCAGATTTTAAAAGCTTTGACCAAGTTAATCTTTCTTCTGCCTACTTTTCCTTCTGCATAAGGGGAAGTATGGAAACAGTCTCTGCATAAAGATACTCCGCTGCATCATTTATAAAAAGAAAAATTGAAAACAGCCTAAAAGCACAATAGATGATTCAAATGATCTATGGTTCACACACCTGTGAGGGTATTATAGAGATGTTTAAATGCAGCTTGGAAGAGACATACATGTCAACGATGTGAAGTGAAAAAAAAAACAAGATTAAAAACTGTGTCTGCACGGGTGAGCATAATGAATGGAAAACAAAACTAAATTATGTAGAGGAAAAATTACTCAGGGAAAACAAACACAGTGAAATGTTGACAGAAGTGTTTCTTGTTGGCAGAGCCATGGGGCTTTCTTCCTTATTCACTTACTTAATACATATTTATTGAGCACCTACTATGGGCCCAGCCCTGTCTGAGGCATTAACAGCACAAATGTTATTTCTACTGCCTATATTTTCCCAAATGTGTTGAAAACTATGTTTTAAAACTATGTATTGTTTTCTTGTTTTTGTTTGTTTTGTTTGTTCTCAGACAGGCTCAAGTGATCCTCCCACCTCAGTCTCCCCAGTAGCTGGGACTACAGGCGTGCACTACTATGCCCCATTAATTTTTCTGTTTCTTGTAGAGACAGGGTCTCGCTGTGTTGCCCAAGCTAGCCTCGAACTCCAGACCTCAAGCAATCCACCCACCTCAGCTTCCCAAAGCTCTGGGATTACAGGTGTGAGCCACAGTGTCCAGACAAGAATAATTTTTTTTAATGGCAGCGTACATGTTTCACCTGCCACGTTGCCAACAAATAAACATAAGATGTTCTGTTGGTGAGCAGAGGATATAGGAACACCAGCCCCGGCTGGCGGAAGAATGAATGACCACGACCAATGAAGGACCAGTTACCAACATTTAAAACATACTTTTTCCCAGCAATTCCACCTGTAGTCATTGTGCCTACTGGGATTCCCTCCCACATTTATCGTGGGATGTTTATGAAGCTTGTTTACCATGACATGTGACTGCTGGAACCCTGAATGGCCCTCGCCAGGGGACGGCTACCCAGACAGTGGCTCAGACTCAGGAAAACACTGAGCTCTAAGAAAAGCAAGGCGATTTCCCAGTGTGTGGCACACTAAGGTGAGGTCCCTAAGGGACAGAGGAAGGCAGATCACCTGAGATCAGGAGTTGAAGACCAGCCTGGCCAACATGGTGAAACCCCGTCTCTAATAAAAATACAAAAATTAGCCAGGACTGGTGGCGGGCGCCTGTAATCCCAGCTCCTTGGGAGGCTGAAGCAGGAGAATCACTTGAACCTGGGAGGTGGAGGTTGCAGTGAGTCAAGATCACGCCCAAGATCCCTGCTCTTCTCCCATCTTGCCTCAGTGATCCTGGGCATGTCCCTTCCCCTCTGTGGCCTCAGTTTCTCATTTGCACAATGAAGACGCTGATGCCCGCCTGGTAGCTTCCTGGAGAGATTTCTCAGGATGTGCTGTGTGACAGGCCTTCCACACAGGTCCTCAGGCACCTTTTTGTCTTCCTGAGATGGAAACCACAAAAAAGTTGGTGCGTGGTCACCAGCGATCCCCGAACTACGACCTCTGTCCTCTTTTCCTGCACACCCCTCAAAAATCACGAAAAGGGGCCTTGGATTAGGAGGTCTCTACGGACTCAAATGAAGCGCTTTCCCTGGGAGGGGCTGCCGGCCTTTGCCTACAACATGCACGGTGTAGTTTTTAAAGCTAGCAAATACCTCAGCCTGGCATTATCTAGCATTGAAGTACAGTGTCTCACGGAAAGTTCTTTTTTATTCCCCAGGCTGTCCCCTTCTCTTCCAGTCCCGGCTAAACCTTCACTCACCTCCACACCTCACCAGCATCCACTCGGAGAGACGCAGCCCCTCGAACCCAGCCAGCAGGGACCACACTTCACCTTAAGTTTGTTCAACTGCTCCAGGTTATTTGAAAACTTAGGAAACCTTTTCCTTAAAAAAATCCAAGTCCCATTGTGAGAGGGAATCCAGTGCTTTCTTCAAAGTACTGACTCAGCAGCTGTGGGAATCTTCCTGATCTGAAGAAAGAGGAAGGAGAAAAAACACAGTCACCCCTGGCTTCTGACTCACATAATCCTGGCTGGATTCTAGCTTAGAACAAAGGGGACATAGATTCTAGATTAGAACAAAGGGGACAAAGTCATCCCAGCTTCTGTGCCTAGACACCACCTTTGATTTCGCAGGGCAGCGCACCAGGGCTTGGCCGCAATGGGGTCGCGATTCAGCAGGTGTGAACTCCAGCGGGGGAGTCGGGGAGAGACAGCAGGCCAGTGGTCCTTCAGGGAAGGTGCAGAAGAGGATTCTTTTTTAATTTTTCTGGTCTGTTCTACATAACTGAATGCCAGGGACCCAACCTGGATGGGCAGGGGGTGCCAGGTGCAGACCTGACTCTGCACTAGGAAGTAATGCCTATCACCACCGGCAGGCGTGTGTGCCTCTCAGCCCTTCCCAGAGGACAATCCCGAACCACTGATCCAAAGCCTTAAAACCCTGCATAACTTTTGACCCAGGCCCCACTGCTAGGAATGAAGAACACAGTAAAGATAGGCAGGACGATTGAGCTACTAGCATGTTTATGACTACCACGTTTTCAGCACGGGAAGTGCAAAGTGCCTAATGTTCACAATAGGGGCTAAGTTGAGCAAAAGCAAATTTCAGTTTAGCCGTACCCTAAAATATGAATACAAATAGTGCCATGGCTACTACCATGAAAACTCAGTCTCATCAAACTGTCTAGCAGATTACAAGCACTCTGGACAGTATGTCACTATGCAGAGACATAGGAAAATGTCTAGGAAGAAATACACCAAAACGTTAACAATGGTCATTGCTGAGAGACTTCTCTTTGTTAATTTCTCTGCATGTTCTGATGTTTCCCACAATAAACTGATGCACCTTTTGTTGATTTCAGAGCATGGCCTTGGAGACGTTACTTCACCTCTCTGAGCTTCAGGCTTCTCACCTGTACGATGAAGACAGCACCTGCCTCATGGATTTGCTAATATATGCAAAATGCATAGCTTGTTGCCTGGAAGATAATAAGTACCCAAATGTTAGTTGTTTTTATTTTTCGCTCAATTTTCTACATATAAACATGTCATTGTGCTCCGTGCTGGGGATACGGCAGTGACAGCTAAACTCCAGAAGAGAAAGATTAAACCCACACTCACAGACGATTAATCCGCTGCCGTGAGGACCAATGATTTATTCATTACAGTTAGGGATGCTGTGGGGCACGTTAAGAGCATTTATCAGGGAAACTTTGTTGAGAATTTTGATCATTATCGTAAGAGCAATAGGAAGCCTGACGCTGAAGTCTTCAAGCAGAGCTGCGAAATCAGAAGTTCATGGTTTAAGAACTCACCATGTCCACACCGTGGACTGAGAGGGGCCCCAGGGAGGTGCCTTCCCAGGAGGCTGCTGTGGGGGTGCGAACCACAGAGGAAGTGCTGCCAGGGCAGACGGGGCGAAGTGGACAGACCCCCGCCCCTTCAGGAGGTGGAGTTTGCAAAACCTGGACACAGCGGTGCCTCGGAGGGGCTTGTGGCGGGATGGTGGGGTGGCCCCCGGCTTCTAGCCTGATGTACTGCCCCGATGGTTCCCGGATACCGAGGACTCAGGGAGGAGCAGGTCTGGGGCACTGCAGAGTGTGTTTTGGGAAGTGTGTCTGGGGACATGCTGGTTTTGAGTTGCCTGGGCGGGGCAGGAGGGTGCCCAAGGGGAGGTCCTGGAAGCAGAGCAGTTTCGAAATCTGCAAGACCCCAGGGGTTCACCCCCACTGCATCCAGGAGAGACGCCGGTTAGGGGATGCAGGACTTCCCAGCGCTGGAAGCGCGAGGCCTATCTAAAGTCCAGACGTTCTCAGAGCCCGGGGCTTGGGCACAGGTGTTGCGCCCCCGACGTGGAGGTGCGCGGGGCTGGGAGCCCAAGCCAGGTGTGCTGGTGGCCTCGCTGGCACACGAGGCGGCTCGGCCCCAGAGGATCAGTGGGGGCCAGACCCCTCCGCGTTGGTGGCCGCTTTCCTCTAGGGTGGGCGCGTGGCCGCCTCCCCCAGGCAGTCCTCCTGCCTTGCCCGAGAGGCCAGCTCAAAAGCCTCTGTGCCCGGGCCGCCCGCCAGGGGCGCCCTTCCCAGCCCACGTTCACCAGCTCTGCCTCGCCCACGCTCGCCCCTTCGCCTGCCCCGAGCCCTGCAACCGGGGCAGCCCCCTCCGCAGGTGCTCACTAAACATCGTGGAATGAGGGAAACAGAGACCCGGAGAGAGGAGCGCGGGGAGAAGAGAGCCCACGGTGTTCCCAGCCCTTCTACCAGTGAGATCATGAGTCAGTTTATGTTCCAGCGTCTATGCTTCAACACCTTCCAGATTTTCCTCCGCGAGCTGGCATCTCTGTTGGAGTCAGAAACCATCGTTTTTCTATCACTGTTTGTGAAGATGTGCTGAATACCAACCGAAGACCAGGGCGCTCTGGGGAGGGCACCGGGCGGGCTCTAGCTTTGCAAGGTGCCAGGGGATGTTTGTAGGGGCCGTGCCTGCTGCTCCCCCGGTGTGGGGCGGTCCTGGGGTGTTCTCTGCTTGCCTCCGGGGCTCCCAGGCAGCCTCCTCCAGCCAATCTTCCCTGGCCCCTAGAAGGAGTAAGCGGGCAATCCCTGGGACTTGCTTAAACCACCCACACCCCAAAAATGTGTGTCCCTCTTTACTGGGAACGTGTTTACAGCTGTGTTATGTGGGGGTGTGTCCCACGCCCAGCGTGGGCCCCTGGTGGTGAGTAGTGTTGGGTACAGCTGGGAGCCTGGGCTCCACCCCAGCTCTGTCCCTGGGATGTCCAGGGCCATGCCCAAGCCTCCTTTTCTTTGAATGGGACTCACCAGGTATGTCTCCAAAAGAGGTTGTGAGCATTAAGTATCCAGGACTTGCCAGTGTGCTGGCACACAGTAAGTGCTCAATAATTGCTGGCTACTGTGAGAACAACGTGAAGGGAACTGGATGGGGCGCTGGGCCTTGCTTTCCCCAGCTGCCCATACTCTGGCCCTGTATGGCTTCCTCCTTTGGCCCGGCCAGCATGGATGTGGTTGAGGATGGCATATGTCCGTGGAAGGCCAGCTGACAGGCTCTGGGACAGCCACGACAAGTTAATGAATTCCGCCGTGGTTACTCAAGGCACATGTCTGGGCCACGAGGACTTCTGTCTGCTGCACTGACCTTTAAAGGTGCGCCTTTAATACCCACCAATCACTCATGCTCTGATTGAACGTTCAGAAGATGAAATCTGTCTGAGCTGAGAGTGATCACTCATGCCTGTCGCCCCCTCACTGTCACTCCTTTCTGAATCATAATAAAACTTTGCAAAACTCTTTGGTTCGCTCACCAGCCTTTGCTGTGAAGACAGAGGCGCTTTCTATCACACCTGGCAGTGAGGGCCAGCCCAGTACGCTGTTTCACCCACCCTAGCCCACACCAGGCACCATTTGTGGGGAGGGAGTTCCAGCCCCGCCTGCATACATGGCCTTTACTTTAATCCCTTAATAACCTCCTCATTCAACTTTCCATCTATCCATTGAAAAAACATTTATTAAGGATCACCTCAGCTTAAATGCCTTTGGCCACAAGAAACGTAAAACCTCCTGACTCAAGCTAAAACCGTAAAAACAGGTATCATTTCATATAACAGGAAGTCTAGAAGTGGAATGGGGTTCAGGGTGTGGTTTCAGCAGCTGGGTGTGGTCCTCAAAGACCCTGGTGCCTTCCATCTCTCTGCTCTGTTTTCTTACCTCTCTACCTCAGCGTTGGCTTCAAATGCCAAATGGAACCAAGATGGTGACCAGCACCCCACTGTAGCTGGCCCCGACATCTCTCTCAGTGACTCTTTCTCTTTGGAAGTAACGAATCCTAAATTCAGTCCCTCTTATTCTGGCACCTAAGATTGTATGGGTAGCCCCCATCCAGAGAGTGCCCTAGACACTACACCCAGGGGCACGACGCTGACCTTCCCATCAATCAACCCACAGTCAGATTTCATCTAGCTGCCAGCTTTATTAGTGAAGTTCTTCTTTCTTTCTTCTTCTTTCTTTATTCTGCAAAGTGAAGTTCTTCTTCTTTCTTCTTCTTTCTTTATTCTGCAAAGATATTTAGTTTTCTTTTTGATTAACTCTTATTTTAATTCCCTCCTTAGAGGTCTATATTCTGTTTCTTTATCTTAGTGGTAATGACTCTTAGCGTTAGGTGTTTCCAAATAAAGCATAATTGACTTTGCTACTTGATATTTACAATTAGTCAGTCTGATTCTCTTTTTTTTTTCTTTTTTTTTTTTTGAGAGGGAGTCTCGCTCTGTTGCCCAGGCTGGAATGTAGTGGCACGATCTTGGCTCACTGCAACTTCCTCCTCCTGGGTTCAAGGGATTCTCCTGCCTCAGTCTCCCGAGTAGCTGGGTCTACTGGCGTGCATCACTGTGCTTGGCTAATTTTTGCTATTTTTAGTAGATAAAGAGTTTCACCATGTTGGCCAGGCTGGTCTTGAATTCCTGACCTCAAGTGATTTGCCCGCCTGGGCCTCCCAAAGTGCTGGGATTACAGACGTGAGCCACCTTGCCTGACTACCAGTCTGATTCTTAACAAAATTTCATAATGAATTATTATTTCAGAAATTTAAATCAATTTGTTTTAGAAATTTAAAAATAATGCTAGGTTTTTTGTTTTTGTTTTTGTTTGAGACAGAATCTCACTCTGTCACCCAGGCTGGAGTGCAGTCGCATGATCTCGGCTCACTGCAACCTCTGCCTCCCGGGTTCAAGCGATTCTCCTACCTCAGCCTCCTGAGTAGCTGGGACCACAGGTGCGTGCCACCACGCCCAGCTAATGTTTGTATTTCTAGTAGAGACGGGGTTTCACCATGTTGGCCAGGATGGTCTCAATATCTTGACCTCGTGATCCACCCTCCTGGGCCTCCCAAAGTGCTGGGATTAACACCGCACTTAGCCAGGTTTTCTTAAGATAGGTATTTAACATACTTTAAACAAATCAATACATTAATGAGGGACTATTGGCATTTACAGCACCAGGAAATCTATCTTCTAAAAAGGTTCATTATTATACATGTGTGTGGATAATAGTCACATTGCATGCCGTTTTCAGAAATTTAATTCCTGAATTAAATGAAAATCAACACTTTGATACATCCTATTTTATTTAGTCCATGCTTCAATTTTTTTATTTTTGTTTATTTTTAAACTTCTAATAATGCAGACAGCCTTTTTAAAAACTCTTTAAAATCAGTCTTCAGAGACTATAAAGGCCTCTGGTCTCCTTAAGCATTTCATATCCAAATGGATGTACTTTTACAGATATTTTTATGTTCTCTGTAATTGACAATATTTTAATTAAGACTGGAAAGCTATCACAGTCACAAGACGACCAATAATTCCCCCCAAAAGTCTAAGTCGTTAGTTAGGCAGCATAATGAGAATTATCACACATTGGGGTTCGTGTGCTCCTGACAATTATCCCTTTTCCGCCTTAAAGTCTTATTTGGATGGGGGAATTATCCAGAGAGGCAAAGGAGCCAAGTGGCGGGCACCACCTCACCACGCAATGTGCTTTTTGCCCAGAAAAAAAGCTGTGACCTTTTCTAAGCATCCACAAACACGAATTAAGAAACAAAGTTCTTGGCTGAGATCGATTGCCCCAGCATCCGATGGAGCCCAAGGAGCTGGTTACAAGGTCGAGCGATTACGACCTAAAGCCGAAATGACTCACATAATTGCAGAATCACTCATTCTAACAGCCTGATTGGAAATTGTCAACACTGTGTTTGGGACTAATGAAGCAAAGGAAATGGAAAAGGTGACATTTTCAAATAATATTATTAGTAAACGAATTGACAACATGTCAGATGACACAGATGACACCAATCCAAAGTCTTATTAAGTCAAAAACAGTTTTCACTGCAGATTGATGAATCTATATATTAATACATTACTAATTGGGCTCAGTTAATAGCACTAATACGAATCCCAAAAGAAAAAGGCTGGGGAGGACACTGTTCTTCTGAGTAGTCCCAAAACAAATGACTGGGAATGAATCATTCAAACTGGACAATTAATACTTCGAGACACATAGCTGGTGGTGGAGGCCCTGCTGTGTTGCATACAGATGTGGCTGTAATGATGGGACGTATAACAGCTCTCCACCAAGAGTTTGTTCTAGAAAACCCTGAGATTCCAGTAATGCCTGGCATTATTCACAGCCTCTGGTATAGAAAGTTTGCGTGCAGATCTGACATCCACGTTAAATTACATGATCAAATGAGTGACTCTAATAAAATCCAAGCTGTGACAGAACCGTCTGTTTCAATGTTATGTGAAAAAAAAAAGTGTCATCAGAATACTGGGCTCGGCTGTTCCATGCCAAAGTGGCTGTCCAAAGAATGAGACTTGTCGAGAGCTTAAGAGCTAAGAGAAGAAATGGGGGTGGAAAAGTGTAAATGATTCTCACTTAGCTTCTCACTCAGCTTCAAAAAATGATGCACTTAACTTGACATTTTTGAGCACCTGAATGAACTTAATTGGAAATTGCAAGGACTGTCAGGCCAAGCTGTCCTTCCAGCATTCAGGCTGTGAAAAGCCATTTCAAATGTGCAAGAACCCAGGAAATACTGTACTCACAAGCCCTTCCCAAGAAAGCGACCAGAAGGCTGGTGGTGAGCATTAAATATGTGTAATTGTAGGTCTCAGACTAACAGAAAAACAGAGACCAGAGTAGAATAATAACAGATAACTATTATATGTTCTGACAAAATAGAAATAATGAACTTAAAATGAGAGGAAAAAAAGAGAGATCAAGGGGAAACAGAACAAACTCATTGATTGTCACATAAATAATAGGTGGCAGACAAAGGATGTCACTTCACGCTGACAAACCAAACAGTATTAGTTTGCACTGTGTGAAACTGACAATATCTGACCATCTTTTCCCTACAAAAATGCTAATCCTATATTGCTCAAGCTAATTAAACATTACAAAGGATATTAGAATAAAGACAGTCACTCAATCAAAAACACAAACGTGCCTAAATTGCAAAAGAAATGTAAAAACAAAAACACACTACAATGTAGGTAAACCATGAAAATACTATGCTTAGTGAAATACGTCAGGCATAAAAGGACAAATGTCTGATTTCACTTATATAAGGTACTTAGAATAGGCAAATTCATAGAGACAGAAAATAGAATAGAGGTTACTATGAGCTACGGGGAAAGGGGAGATGGGGAGTTATTGCTTAATGGGTGCAGAGTTTCTGTTTGTGGTAATAAACTATTTTGGAAATAATGGTGATAGTTGCACAACAACATAAATGTACTTAACACCACTGAATTATACACTTAAAAATGGTTAAAATGATAAATTTTATATTATCTGTGTTTTACCATATGTTTAAATACTAATGTAATAAACCAAAAACCACTGACTTGTACACTTTAAATGGGTGAGTTGTATGGTATGTGAAGT